TTCCTTTATCACATAAAGTCTTATTGTGTGTCCCCTGGGCTGGGCACTGAGCTAAGTTATGGCCTAGGTAGAAGACAAAGATTAAACAAGTAAGAATCACAAGATACATGCTTAAAAGGCAGATGGAGGGTGCTGTGGGACCATGTGACCAGGAAAGCACCCAGCCTGGCTTCCCAGAGAAAGTGTGCTTGGAGCCGGGACCTACCTGGAGGATGAACAGGATTCAGCCAGACAAGATGTCAAGGGTGGCACCCACAGAGGACAGCTATGGGCCCCTGTGTATCTAGAACTCACAAATGAGGAGGACTCAACAATGAGCCCTTACGGAGGGGCTCAGTTTGAGCACTTTATACACACAACTCACCTAATCACCCCCAACCATCACATACAGTGGATAAGCTATCATCCCTACAGTGCCGATGTGGCAAGAGAGGCACCAGTCTGAGAAATGCATCCAGTTCTGCTTCTAAGTGGTAGAGGCCACACATGGATGCAGGCTTTAGTGTCAATGCTGCTCACCATTGTTCCAATCAACCTATGGAGCGGTTAGGCTATGGCTTTGCAAAATCATACATTTGCAATCACATTTTTCAAAACACAATTGTTATGGTTTAGATCTAAAATGTCCCCCAAAGGCCTCATGGGTTTGGAGGTGGGGCTTCTGGAAGGTGACTGGATCATGGGGCACTACAGTCATCCTTGAATTAACCCACTGATGGATTCAGTAGCTGAGTGTGCTGGTGGTCAGAAAAGGCAGGTCACTGGGGACATAAGCTGGAAGGGTATCTGTCCCTTCTCTCACTCTCCCTCTCTCCCTCTCTCTCCTTCCTGGTCGTCATGATGTGACTAGTTTTCCTCTGCCAGACCCTTCTGCTATGCATGGTCTGCCTTGAAGCCAACCAACTAAATACTGAAACCTGTCAAAAGCATGAGCCCAAATGAGCCTCTCCTCCATTAATCTGTGGGTGTCAATATTGTGCCTCAGTGATGAGACAGTGTCTAAGACACCAATTACACCTAAAACCTTTGAGGCAACCAGGGCCTCCAAGAAGGAGCGTACTCTTGGCAGAAAGGCCTGGGATCCCCAACAGTTTCTGGACAGGAGCAGAAATGATTTCCCTCTCATCTGCCTCCCCTCCCCTTCCCTTTGGGGCAAAAAAGACTTACAATTTAAAAGACCTTCTTAATCCCCCCGCAAAACAGGTTGTGCCTGCTTCTTGTCAGACTCAAGAGAACAAAGCAAGGCTCCTAGCCTTCCACTGCATTCCTTCTGAGCGCCAATATTGATGAATGAAGAAGGTCACGCCCCTGGGAGTGGCCGGTCGACACAGGTCCACGCACTGGCTCCAGTAGCCTTTGATCACGGTCCCTTTCTTCTCACCCTACAGCCCCATGGCTGGTCGCTTCCTGCTTAGGGACGGTGGCACGGTATTATCCTCTAATGTTTGGTCTGTATAGTTTGATTGGGCTTTGTTATTTTTGAATGAGCAGATGAATCTCAAATTAGCCTCTTAGCAGAATCGGCCTGCCTTCTTGTTGATTCATGTTAAGAGTCCATGCTTTGTATACAATGGGCAAATCATCAGGTTTTGGCATCCTGCCAGGAGAGCACTGTTGCAAGGGGAAAAAAGAGAAAACACAAACTGCCCATATAAATGTAGAGTGTTTCAGGCATTCCTGAAATGGAATAATGAAAAAGTTAGATCACACTCTACCTATGTGAAAATGAGTAACAGCTCTGTGAATAGCAAAAGACCCAAAGACGCCAGGCAGGTTTGGTTCATATAAAGTTGGGAATCAGCTTGCATGGGTTTAAATTCCACTTATAATAATAGTTAAATTATTTTTAAAGATTTGTCCTTTTTTTCCGGTGCTGGGGCTAGTACCCAGGGCCTCACCCTTGCTAGACAAGTGTTCTGCTAGTGAGCCACTCCTAGGCCTGTAAGATTTGTGTCTTGTAAATGATATGTAAGTAGTTCTGGGTAGGTAAATAAATACTCAGAATTCATAGCACAGGAAATGGGGCTGTGACAGCACTGAGTTGACTGGGACATACTTAGTTTCACAGCATCAGCTGACAGGGAACCGAAAGCCTTTGAAGTCACGGTATACCTGTAGCCAGAAAAACCCAGTCTGAATCCTTTTGGATGATACAATATATTTGCTCAGAAATCTTCCCACCAGGCACACCAGGGCTTCTCTGAAATGCTATGCCATCTCACTCATTTGAAAAACCTAACCTCAAAATAATTCATGACATGCATTCCTCCTCGGCAGCACCAAGAAGAAAATTCACCAAGGGAGAGGGCTACAGTAAAAAGTACACAAGAGTGGTTACAGTAAAAAATAAATCAGTGGCAAGCCAAATTATAGATGCTAAAATTTATGAGTATGGAATCTTCCAAAGTCAAGAGATTCCACTAAAGCCTTCCATAAATATATTCTAACCAAACCGTTAATGGGCTGTCTGGACCACCTGATCACTATGCCCATGTGCAGTGACAAACAATAACATGATTTCTAGAGAGAAAAGCAAGGAAATCCTTCTAAATCTATATTTCCATTGTCCTCAAACTCTCAAAGAACTGAGCTCTCACTATTCCTGGATTATGAATATATTTCCAGGGAGAGAGAAGGAGGAGAGAGCTGGAGATAAGACAGAGAAGCAGCGTACTGTCTTTGCTATCAAAACATTATTAAATTCATTCCTTTGACATTCTGACAGTAATTGCACTGAGAAGGATTGGATTTTGTTAAAATTATTTTAAAAGGGTTGTTGAGAATTTCCTGCAGCAGAGACCTGTGTGCAATGCACAGCTTTCACTTGATTTTCCTTTGTCCTCATGATCCTGAGAGGCTCGGCACTCATCTCATTTTTGACAGCACGAAGCCCTTGGAAAAACACCCTGAGTCCTGCCCTGCAGAAGGCCCTGCCCCTTGCAGTCCCCTGGTTCTATTTTCTGCTGTGACCTTCGGAGTCACTAATCCAAGCTGATTCATTCGTGAGGTTTCTGGCTCTGTCTTCTTAATGAACAAAGACAGAAGCAGGCACCCTTACAAACATCATCTTCCTAATAATGGCAGAGCCATGACACTGCAGGCAACACCAGGGTATTGTTGGGAAGAGCCCAAAATAGTGCTATGCACTTCAAATTTCTGAATGTTCCTGTCGTTGATGATGTAAGCCCAAAGCGTTCTAATAAATCGTGATTGTGTGACAATGAGTGACTAAGGTGTTTGTGGAGAGGGTCCCTGCCCTCAGTGGATGAGCCCTAATGGTGCCTCAGAAGTCCTGAGCAGAGGGACTTCCTCATGGTCCCTGGGCTTTGTAGTGACAAAGGAGAGCGTCCCTGATGCCAGTCTCATTAGGGAGGACAGCGCCCTCTCCACCTGGAAAGTGTGAGAGCTCTGATGGCTTCAAGCTGCTTTCTCCACTGATCAGAGAATGAATGGCTTTCAGACAGATAAAAGGTACTATCAGCTGTTGAGTTTTGAAAGAAACGCATGTTTCTTCAAAAGGTTAAGCGGAGAGTTGTTGTATGACCCAGTAATTCCACTCCAAGCAAACCAAGAGAAATGAAAACATATGTTTGCACAAAATCTTGACTACAAGTGCTCATTACAGCATTATACATAATATCCAAAAAGTGGAAACAACCCAAACCTCCATCAGTTGATAAAGAGATCAACAAACTGGGATGAATCCATCCAATGCAATTTCATTTGCTTATAAAAAACCAGGAGGAAGTACTAATACATGCTATAACAGGGGTGAATGTGAAAAATATTTTGCTAAGAAAAAGACATCAATTACAAAAGATGATTCCATTTATATGCAATGTCTAGAATAGGCAAATCTATAGAGACAGAACACAGATTAGTAGCTACCAGGAGTTGGCAAAAAGGGAGAATGGGAAGCAAGTGCTAATGGTACAAGGTTTCTTTTCAGGGATAATAAAAGTATTCTAAAATTAGATTGTGACGACAGTTGCACAACACTGAATAAACGAAAATCATTGGATTCTACGCCTTCATATGGTGAGTTTTAGAGTATATATAATTAGATCTCAACTTTTAAATGTTTAAGCATATGTGCGTATGTAAGGATACATACTCATAGCTTATGCTTTGACTATAGTTCTTAAAACTAGAATTAATTAAGAATATTATTAATTTTTCTCAATAATTGAGTAATTAGTGATTAAGCATTCCATGAAGAACCATGCATTTATTAGTGAATAATTTGGGCGGAGGGAAAGAGGGCATTTTTATTTTTACAATTTATTTTATTATCATACTCAAAGCAGGCAACCACCACCAACAGCAATATCAGAGAACATTATTTTCTCTCAGTTTCTTTGTAAAGCCCCTTCCTAGGAAGGAACAGCTAGTATAAACAAATTTGGTTTCTGGGGAACATCTCTAGATTTCATGGGCAAGTCCACAATTTGAATTCAATTCAATTGAATAAAACTGCTATTGAGCAACTACCATTGGAAAGCAAACACAGGGAAAGCACCTATCCCTAGCACCAGCTGAGTAGTAACCTCATGGTGTCTCCCCTTGGGTTCTTCTTTTAGGCACCTGAGCAACTGATCTCTCAATCTGGTAAATAATAAGAACAGCACCTGTCACTTACCTGATGCTTACTGAGCACCAAACGCTGTTCAAGCTCTTTCTATCAACTCATGGTCATGACATCAATGAAGAGAGAAGTAGTAGTATTCTCATTTCACAGATGAAGAGGCTGAAGTTCAGAGAAGTGAAGTAATGTGCCCAAGGTCAAACAACTCTCAAAGGGCAGAGCCAGGACACAAGCCCAGGCACTCTGGCTTTACACACTACTCTTTGAACCCCAAGTTGATGTTAACTCAACTTAAGAAACAATTCTGTGGAATAAATTCTGTAGAAAACTTTAAAATAGGATGCAATTACTCAGCCTTGCTTGGAGCATCCATTTAGCAAAGATTTGGCGATGATCAGCCCGACATGGCCCTTACCTGTGGACCACCCCAACCCGGTGCAGGTGCTCCACTGCAGAGATGAGCTGCCGGATGTATCTGCGAGCTTCGGACTCCTCCAGCCGCTTCTTCTCATAGATCTTATGCATCAAGTTACCTCCAGGACACAACTCCATGACCAGGTAGTAGCTGTTTTCCGTCTCTAAGATATCGAGGAGCTGAGTTATGTTGGGGTGACGGATCATCTGCTGGATCTGCCCCTCCCGCCGAAGATTTTTGGTGACATAGGTGTCCTTTTTGGCTCTCTTCTTATCAATGACTTTGATGGCCACCTAAGAAACCAAGAGCATAAGTGTTATTAGACACTGCAGGCAAAGGTGATTCCTCAACTACTCTCAAGGACACTAGGAAAATTCACAGCTATTTCCCTGTACCAGGAGAAACACAGGGTCTAAAACATCAAGAATAGAGGTGTGGCTCAGTGGTAGACTGTGTGCCTAGCACCTTAAAGTCCCTGGGTTCCATCCCCAGCACCACGAAAAAATTAATTAACTAATTAATTAAAATAGCATCAAAGGAAAAAGCAGAATATCATGAAAAAACAAGAGATTCATTTGTTAAGGAAGAGAATGGAATTTAAGGAAATGTCAGTGTTCAAGAAGTAGTGTTCTAGATGCTCCTCAAAGGGTTACTGTCCAGTGGTTTCTTCAGGGAAGAGGACGAGAGTGAAATCCTGACCTCTGAAGCAAGGGGCTCTCACCATTGTCTCTCAGGACACTCTCGCCCCCCCAGGTCTGACGCGCAACACTCCCACCTCAGAAACAGCTAACCCTGTCCTCAGTCTTCATCTAGGATGTGCTTAGAAGCCAGGGGAAGCACTGCCAGAGGACCCAGCTTCTTTGGCCTTTGTTGGCCCTTCTCTGCCCTGCACGGGCCCTGGCTGCCTCTAGCCTCCGACGCTGACCTCCCTCCCAGCATGCATCACGTCTCGGTGATCAGGAGCCAGCTTCACATCTCAGCTCCCAGAGCAGCTCATCCTGAACCACATCCCCACCGCCAATGTGTCCTGAAAGGGAGGCTCTTGAGGGAGGGAAGAACAGAGGGAAGGAAGGAGGATGGAGGGGAAGGGAAGGCTTTCTTCTCCACTCACTCTGTACCCTCCCCAACTCTCCCTTTTCCTTTATGGGAGCTACCTTTTCACCCTCCAGGCCCTGGGACACCTCACTGTTTCTTAGGGCCTCACTGCCCCTTCTAATGTGACCGGCCATTGAGCGGTGTCAGTGCCTCAGCCAACCGCCCCTTCCCCTTCCCTTCCCCTCTGCCCACCCAGCACCTTTCTCCCCCGAACCCGACACCACTGTTCCTCAGGAATGCTCTGCCACACAGCCAGTGAGCCACGGGGTGCAGGCCAGAGACAGCAGACTGTCCATTCCTCTAATTTCCTCTTCAGTGATTACATTTTGTACCTGTCTCACAGTGCACTCAATATATTAGTACAGCCTTACAGGTATGTAGGTAAATGATGGATAAGTAAAGAAATATGTTTGCAGTGAGAGACTCAGATGTTATCTAGGGACATAGTTCATGACAAGATGAATACATAAAAACCTTAGATCTCATGTACAGCATGGTGACTGCAGTTCACAATAAAGTACTGTATACTTGAAAACCGCTAAGAGAGTAGATCTTAAATGTTACACACACACACACACACACAATGATAACTCTGAGATGATGGACATGCTAATAAGCTTGACTGTGGCAACCAGCGCACAATGTACACACACACATCAAAACATCACACTGTACACAGTAAATATATGCTCTGCTTCTCTGTCACGCCTCAAAAAAGCTGTGAAACAATACTTTTTTTAAAAAAAGAAAATGAATAAAGTAGAAACCACAAGCAAACTGCTTAAACCAATGAAAGGCCGGCCACTAACAGCCGACCTAGACTAGTGCACCGATAGCCTAACTCTTCTCCATGACTGGCGTCCTGGTTTCCTGAATTCTCTCCATGCTCTGCCTCAAAGTCAGTGAGCCCAGAACCCTGATTTCTCACTAAAGCCTTTTGGGGCTCACTGCTGCCTGCCTGAGTTCCTGAGCATCTTCTTGTCAGCCATACCATGGTTTCCTCTTTACCCAAATTCCCCAGTGCCAAAAGGCCAACTCAAGAGCCATCCTCTTTCTAGAGAGACTGCCACCCCAGGTTCCGGAACACTTGGATTTGTAAGATGTGAAGCTCTCATCGCTGGAGCCCAGCCCACTCCCTTCCTCACACACAGTGCCTTATAACTGCAAGTGACCAGTGGGTTACTAACCAATGCAATCATCAGAGCAAAGACAGCTGTGAACAGCTGAATCTGCTACCTCTTCTGGAGAATGGAGTTTTGTCTTACTAGGGAATTTCAGGGCCTTTATCCAAAGATATAAAGAACAGCCAAGGGCTGATGATGATCAGGACAAGCTGAGGGCCTCTGCCGGCGTGAACCTCACAGCTGGGACCTGAGTGTCCAAAGTCCCCACCAGCATTCCTGGCCCACCGAAGTGACTTTCCCTCCAGCTGTGGGTGAGCCCAACTCTTTCAACAGATGCTAGACTAACGGCTTTGTAAACTGTTCATTCCTGATTCCCTCTAAATATATTTATTTCTATCCTCTTGAGGGAATGAGAAAAGATGCTGAAAAGTACAATTAAGTTCTATCTCTGCTTGACTCTGTTGCAATGTTATAAAATTACACCCTTTGGCAACAAAATCTTAAAAGTACTATGGATAAACAGCAATCTAAAAGCCAGGCAGTAAGACGATCAGCCTTTTTTTTTTTCTTTTAACAGAGCACTCAAGTATTATTAGGATAACTTATTTAGCTTGTTAATTGCCTGTGCTAGGTTGAGTAAAAGCCAAAAAAATTAAGTGGGGGTCCCTCCCTGGATCACATCGATGTGACTGTATTTGGGGGAAAAAAGACTACAGACGTGGTTCAGTGCAAGACTTTGAGCTGAGATTCACTTGGATTCCCCGGGTGGGCCCTACATGTGCCCTCCTGCATGTCCTTACAAATAGAGACCGGGGAAACTTTACACAGATATGGGGAGGAGAAGCCCACATGAAGAAGGAGGGACAGATGGGACGGGGCCACAAGCCAAGGATCACAGACATCCACCAGAAACAGGAAGAGGCAAGGGCAGACTCCTCCCCTCGAGGCTCCAGAGGCCACATAAACCCTGCTAATACTTTGACTGTAGACGTCTGGCCACAGGAACTGTGAGAGAAATCACTTCCTACATTAAGCCACCATGTTTGTAAATTTGTTACAGCAGCCACAAGAAACTGATACCTTCTCTAGGGGAAAAAAATAAAATACAGGACATTTTCCTGATACAACCCCTCTGGGGTACCTCTCCAGGCCTTATGAGCCCCTCCTTGGAATCATGGATAACACTACCTGCTATGGTTTAGATCAAAAAATATTCTCCAAGCCTTGCAAGCGTAAGGACCTGAGTTCGATGCCCGGTACCAAAAAACAAAATTCTCCAACTCAGGCATGGTGGATCACACCTGTAATCCCAGGGCTCCGGGAGGGTGCGATGGGGAGATCATAAATTCAAGACCAGCATAGGCAATTTAGCAAGACCTTATCTCAAAATCAAAAAAGGGTTGGTGAAGGTAGCTCAGTGCAAAGACCCTGGATTCTATCTCCAGTACAGTACTGGCAGAAAGAAAAGAAAGTTCTCTGAAAGTGCACTAATTTCATTAAAGGATCAGTCCATTGATGAGGTCACAGTTGAATGAGTTCTTAGGAGGCAGATCTTATTAGATTAGAGGATGTAGGTCACTGGGGGCATGCCTTTGAATGTTATATTCTATCCTCAGCCCCTTTGTCTCTCTCTAGCTGTTCCTTGTTTTCTCTGCTTCCTGGATGTTATGAGGTGAGCAACTTTCCTCTGCTATGTTCTTCTGCCATGCTGTTTCTGCCTTGAAGCCAGCCAACTATGGACTGAAACCTCCTAAGCCATGAGCCAAAAGCAAACCTTTTCTCCTTTAAGTTATGTATGTCAGATATTTTGTCCCAGCAACAGAAAAGTGACTAACATAGCACCTTTTACTTTCATTTTAATCATTTCCTGAGCTAGCAATATGTGGTACAGTCCTCCTTCTCTTTCTCTCTCCAGGCATGTGCCGCTCTGTGCTCCTTACTCCTCCCCTTCACTGCAACCCCAGGGGGCTTCTGACAATACCTGACTGAAACCACCCTTCCCTCTGTTCCCACCAGACCATATGTGACCAGTGGGGAGCAGGGTCACTACTACTACCCCACCAGAGCCCTCCTCCCAGAGCTGAAACAGCCATGCTGGTTTTTGCACCTACCAGATCCCTATAAAGCCCTAGTAAGTGGTGAGCAAATATCTGTGATGATGACCCCTATGGACAGAACGGGGAGCACAGATGACTCTTTCCAGGCAGCTGGCCATCATGATCACAACTGTATGATTATCATAATCCTAACCGTGCTACCTTCCAACATACCAGGTGGGTTCACCTGGCCTTTTTTGGGGTGGTTCTTATACTTTCCTACTTCTGGGCAAATGCAGTACACATGCTCCTTGATTTTTGATGGGTTCTGTCTCAATAAACTCACAATAAACTAAAAATACCATAAATGGAAAATGCACTGAATTCTCTAACCCACGGACCAGCCTGGCTTAGTGATACAGCGTGCTACAGAACATCAGCTGTTTTCCCCTCATGATCAACCAGCTGACTGGTAGCTGAGCTCACTGCTACAGTCCAGCATGGAGAGAAAGAGGACTGTACCACATATTGCTAGCCCAGGAAAAGTTCAAAATGCAAAACAACAAAGTATGGTTTTGTAGATTATTTTCACACCATCGTAAGGTTCAAAAATCCTAGTTTAAACCATCTTAAGTCAGGGACTGTTTCCAAATGGTCTCCCAGCTTTTCTCAATTTCTTGTTCTTCTTTCGGCCTCTCACCCTCCCCTTGAGGAGCAAGGCAATGGTGTGATCCAAGATGGGAAATGGGTAACATCCCAGGGAAACCACCCAGTCCTGTCACCTCCAACCAGTCGTCCCAGTCCCATCTTTAGGTCATCTTCCAGAGACTTCTGCAAAGCAGAGCTGAAAAATAGCCCCCTGAAGAGAGGTCCATATCCCAATCCCTGCAAGCAGTAAATAGTACCTAATTGGGGAAAAGGGTCATTGCCGATATGGTGAAGTTAAAGGACCTATGATGTGGAAACTATCCTGCCTTAACTGGTAAGCCCCCAAAGCCTTCACTAATGGCCTTAACAGGAGGAGGAGATCAGACACAC